AAATAAACTACTATTCCTACTTGACAGTTTTTCACTTATAGCAGGTCTTCAGGGTATGGATCCCCCGCGGTAAACGAGCGACTTCTGTATAGGGAAGTCACCTTGTGAAAATCAAAACATAATTGATCTCCTGTACTTCGGCTTTATCTTTGGCTTTATTGTCACACTACCTTCATTGTTTTTAGAAGCCGATTCAATCAAAACTTGTTTCAAGAAATTATGTGCCAAATATGGCTTATGTACAGTGCCAAAACTCAAACAGAGCCAGTTGGTTTCATAAGGGCCATGTTTGGTCTCACACACAACTGTTCAGATATAGGACGAGCTCTAGCATATTGTGTGTGGGCCAGATGTGGCCTATATACCTTCATCCATATCGGAAACAGAACTATCGGTGGCCAAGTTCAGGTCAAATCTGTCTGCTACCTGATGTAGTCTACTGGTGACTAAACTTTTGGATTTGATACTTGGGGGTTACGCAGTGACACTACACGTTTGTCTCTTATTGAATATGTCTGGCACTTGCCTTTCCATTCAGTCCAGATGTGCACTCTTTCAGATCTCAGGTTCTACCAGCAGGTCAAGCTGGTGAACTTTATTCGTCGGCAGATCCACCAAAGTCGCTGTTATGGCTGCCAGAAGAAGTTTGACTCGAGAGTGGACATGCTGCAGCACATCGTGTCTGAAGGACATGTGATGAAACTGCCAGAGATGTCCACCTGGGACCAGCCACAGTATGTCCAACAAAAAGTCTTTCTTCACGGTTCCTGTCTGCTCTGTCTCCGCTCACTACCCTGTCTTTGTACTGTTCTTGATTCAACAGATTTTCATTGTAGTCAGGTTCACTTTGCTGTTTTCTCCCTAGGAGAATATGAAAATAAACATTTTTAGAAATTTTGTAAATAATTAGAGAAACAATATTTCCTTTTGCTCTGAGACAGTATGATGGCCATGTTGGATTTTAAATAATGGCTGTCTTTAAAAAAAATATTCTCAGCAATATCTTGGTTTCTTAGTGACTTAGAGCTTTGATTTTGACAGATAAATCACCATTTTCAAGTCCTAATGCCCAAATGGTGAAATAAAAAGGAACCAGCTGCATTTCCTTTGTAAGGCTGGGGAAGCAAACCAAAGATAAAAATGCCTGAGAAAATAAGAACCAATAAGGTACGCTCATACTACTTGCCCCTCAAATATTGAGTTGAATGGACTTAAAATGTGTTTTGATGAAAATAAGCTGTCCTTGAACCTAAACAAAACAAAAATAATGTTATTTGGGAACGGTCAATCACATACAGAAATTCAAATACAAATAGATGGAGTGAATATTGAAAGAGTTCATGAAAACAAATTTCTTGGTGTCATTACTGATGATAAACTCAACTGGATACCACACGAGGTATGTTCAAAGTAAAGTCTCAAGAAATATCGCCCTCTTAAACAAAGCCAAGTCGGTCATAGAACGAAAAGCATTACATGAACTCTACTGTTCACTAATCTTACCTTATTTAAGTTATTGTGCAGAAATCTGGGGCAATAATTACAAAACTAGGCATTAACAATACTACAAAAAAGAGCAATAAGAATAATCCATAAGGTGGGATAAAGTTCCCAGTATACTCCTGCGTACGTCCGTTCACGCGTACGTACGCGTGTACTGTACGCAGAGGGTTTAGACATGATACTCCAGCGTACACCCTGAGCAGCGTCACAGACAAGGGGCGTTTACCTTCGGGACAAATTGAGGTCGCCGATTGGTCATTTGCTGACACACCTACTGGATTGATTGACAGGTCGGAAAAAAAAAACGAGTACTGGCAGCCTCAACCGCAGCGGCATTCTGTGTGTGTTTATATGTTGTTAATAAAAAGATCTAAAAAATAAAAAGAAACAGGGAGCGCTGGCTCTGCAGTCCACACATCAGACCAGCACACCAGGAAATCTCCAGACCCTCCCGCAGCCACGCTGGACCTGAGTTTAATTCGCTCGTGACAAATTCCTTCATTTCTCACCATTTCAGTCATGGCATCAATGGAGGAGGAAGAGATCACTGCCTCTTGGCAAAAAAACTAAAGAAAAGGCCAGATCAGGGATGAAGAAGGGGAATTTATTACAGTGGTGTCGCATACAAAACAGTCCATCGCTGGGCAGTTTATTGTGCAACACCGCATACACGGTCGTAAAAACCGAGCTTTGCACGGACATGCCCTGGGGGGTACGCTCGTACCTCCGCGTACGTACGTGCGTACGTACGTGCGTACGTCTGCGTATGGACGTATGCGGCAGTATACTGGTGCTTAAGAGGCCGTTTACACGGCGTGTATTTTGAGTGCATCCGCTCCTTTCTCTCTACGGTTCTGCTGATCATTTACATGACACAAGTGACCCCCCTCTTTGAATCCGGAGGTTTCTGAACCCACCTTCCAGAGTGGAGGTTTTTCTCTGACCCCCGCTGATAATGTTAACATCTCCCGCTGAGGCTTTGTGTTAAACCACATGCGCACACGCGGACAGACGCTATATTTCTATCAACATGGCGGCGACACACTGCTTTCAGAACCTTGACTGATGGAATATATTTTAATCTCTTTGTTAATCTATGTCAGATTCCAGGTGCTGTGACCGACATCTGTGTTGGAAGAGACACAATCTGATCCAGTTCTAATATCACTGTTTATAGAACGAGGAACGTGCACACGTCACGCTGCACTATAACATACTATATGTGCTAAATAATAAGTTTAATAATAATAAACAGTATTTATCTTAAGTTTGAGATATAATGAAGCTCTCTGGACATTATGTAATTCAAATTATGTGATTAAAATGATGCTAAACATGTTGCATGTTATTAAAGTTGAAAATGAAGACATAAGGTTTAATTTTTATTTATTTATTCAACATCACAAACTGTATGTCACACAAACACTGATAATTAAACTGAACACACTATTAAAACACCTTAACTGTAAACTGCATTAATGAACTGGACTCTTGTTTTCATCCTGGATATACTGGTCCCACGTTGTTCATCTGGCTCGTTCAGGCTGTCACTCCTTTGATTAATGCAACTTAAAACATTGAATGGATTGAATAAAATAACTGAGGGGAATTTAAAATAAATAGTTCATCAACATCTCTGTCTCCGACGTCCTCCTGCAGTTCACCTGGGCCGAGCCTCGTTCAGAACCGGTCCGCTTGGTGGAAGGACAGCTTCTTCTTCTTCTTCTTTCAGGAAAAAATAAAAACTCGGTTGGTTGTTGTGTGATCGAAGTAAACACAAGCAAACATTATTAAGAACATTTGATGTATCTAATGTAAAACAGCTACTGATTATCACGGAGTAAAGTCCGTCATCGTCGACTCGGTTCTGGTCCACTCAGTGACCGGTGTGGAGCTGTTAGATGAAGCGGTGCCGCTTGGCGTCAAATCTGTCGACTCTTATCCACAATCCAGCTTTAACTTGTTGTTA